ACACCCAGCTGTAGATTTATGTTCATTTGTTCAGCTTAATAATTCTCATCCACAACTACGTTTAATGCTCTTACGAACTGAAAATCGTATCTAATATACATATACGTAAAACGAAACATTAAGCACGCTGAAACTGAAGTATTCGAGTGCAATTTATGAGGCCAACAAAACGTACGTAGTGGTATGCCATAAATAATGCACTCTATCAAGCACGTGGCACGTGGCACTGGCACACGCAGGACTATTGTAGTGCACCGTAGATTGAACACTCCAGACACTGCCATAGTAACGAACAATTAAGTCTGGGACTCAACCAACCTCAAATTTCACCTCTGTTGCGCAAACAGGTGGGATACGGATGATGACGAGACTACAGTGTGAGCAACTGTCCCAGCAACCGTAGCAGAAACAAAACAAGGGTAGAGGCAGAAGCAGAAACAATAGTAACATACTGGAGGATCTATTCAGCAGCGTACGAATAACCAGGCGCATAACTTCGCCTTAATTGGAAGACGCAAGCCGCCGCAATACAAGACGCACCATAAATGGTGAATCTGCCTGGACCACCGCCTACTTGCATACTTTCAGGGAAGCACACTCCAGGCCAAGCCATGCCAAGCGAGAGGCGGGTAGGGGCAGTGGCATCGAAGGCCATAACTCCATCATTAGAATCCCCTAGATAAAAGGCACGAAAACATCCTGTCGAATAAAACACACGCATATTACTCTTACGTAAATACCGCTTAGTACTCACACATAAACAATATATAAAAACCTATACGAGTACCAGTTCAAGGAACATATTTATGCATATATTTTAGTATATTCTAGCAATTAACCCATACAACTGAAAAGGAGTACAAGCTGCACCGTCCCAACTGTGTAATTTAATTTACTCAGCCCCGCTACGAGTACGAGTACGAGTACAGAGTATAGTACGAGTATGTGCGGGTGCGGTGTGTGTAAGCACTATACGATATTGTAGGTATTTGTATACCGATAACTAACGTTTAAGGACAAGTCAGACCGGATTTATACATTTTTGTTTCTGCCATTAAGTTAAGTTCTAATTACACTAACACGATACGGGTACGTAAACCTATAATTATATAGAGCATTCGCATTTAGGTTCTATTGAATGGTACGAGTATTGGGCTTCCCAAAGAAATGGATTAAGGAAATTTATCATTATTAGTCAGCAAAAAGTGGGACATGGTACGGGGCAGTAGAAGGGGTTTTGTCTTGAACCGGTACTAAGTAGACTTGAGTAACTATGCCAAATTATTTAAAGGGGGGGAAGAGCTTGTAATGGGAAAATATCAATATAGGGATGCATAGTGTCCAAGCGAGAGACGACTATGAATTGAAAAGTATTTATCGTGGCTGTGGTTGTGTCAGTTCTATTCAGCCTGCGACAACTTGGCAACTGTACAATAAAAACTGTGCAAACTCACATACAAGAGGCATGCACATAGACACATAACGTATATTCAATATGTGTATGCAGGAGACGTATACATATAAAGAGTATGGGAATATAGAGTACACATGTATACGGACACTGATAAATAGATCTAAACCATATATTCGTATACACATACATATTTGTCGATAATATTATCAAAATCTAGCTAGAGGAAGCTTGCTTCAAGAGTCTAATCCCCTTTCCTACACGATAATAGTTACTATATGCCGATGTAAAGTGTGTACAATTATAAATAAAAATTCATGATAGCAGAATTATGTACTGTACCGTACGTACTGTATCGATCTATTTTTCTGTTTGGTGCTAGCAGCGCCCTGAGCTTGGACATTGATTGTGCATTATACGATATGATATCTATGACTTATTTAACTTTAAAGTCTCTCAATACGAATAAAACGTGTAAAACGTATATACAAAACCAAGAATGTGTGCGCGTTTGAGTTTCCACCTCCGAACATGCCATGGAAATGGTACTTTCAGCCAGCCCTAATCAACGGAAAGTAACTTTAATTGGAGACTGGTTAAAACTACACCAACTTGTCTGTAGGAATCTTATAAACTACGTAAATGGAATCGCGCAGTGGATCTAAAGATAACGTCGTAGCTTGTTGCCCGTCGATCTCAGCTCTGGAAAATAATAGGAGATTTACCTGTGTTACTGGTAGGTTGCTTTCCGCTTCTAAAACAATATGTACTAAATAAGGGTAGCTATTGAGTCGTTTTGCCATACACCTTTTGCATACATTTTTATCTATGGGAATATAAATTTTCAGTAACCATTATGCGTATATTATGTACGTAGTATATGTACGTGTGTATCTCTATGTAAGTATCCTTACATAAGGACGGATGCAAATGATGGCAGCATGTGTTGGTATTTAAAAAACCATCATTGAATAACATACGAACTATTTGATTATATTTTTGGGTTTTGTTTTGGGCTTGACAGTATTGTATGATATTCTATAGTTGGTTAATTCTGCTGCACTTCAAAATGGAATAAAATGATGCCATGCCATGCATTGTTTCTGTTTTTTTTTGATTACGATTATGGTTCGAGTATGGTTCACAAACATGAGGGTTTGCTGAGTATAATGGCTAAGCTCAACATGCTAGTACATACATACATTTGAGGGGATGTACACTATATTCGTTAAAGGATAACACAATGTAGCGTAAAACCTTTTATGCACTATTCACTATTCACGAGTATGAATTCGAGAACAATTGTTTGTTAATTGTGTTATTCTGGTTCCATTTCAGTTTTAATTTAGTTAGACATCAGTTCAGTTTAGTTGAGTTTCACTCGCTAGCTGAATGGCTCCGTGAGCTGAGTTGGATGATTAACGATTCTACAAAACATATCGAATAACTGCCGAATACTCAACAGTCAATGTACGTGTCAGCTCTAGTTTGTTTAAGGCAATTTTCGTATAGAATTTTCTCTATTATTACACATTTACCCTCTACCATTCCATACGCAATTCAGTTTCAGCTCGTTGTGCATTTTGTTTGTCGTGGAAGATAAGGGGATATAACTAGCTTCCATTTTTTATAGATGTATATTGGGATATACAATACATGTATGTACCAATGTATCCAGTATGGTAACTCGATTCGTTTTCGGGTATTTATAATATAGCGATATGCCTTTAATTTATTTGTAATTCAAGTGAAACTCTGTGTGTACACATACATATTTAACATTACTGAGCAAATTACAAATACACACACAAACATGTATATATATTCAATTATATATTCAGATTTCAGCAGTCTTCAGCCTCTCGCCTCTGGCATCGCCCTCAATATACATACAATATACGTATGTACTATATGTACTATATGTATGTACGTATAGGCTACGTCACCTTAACTCTGTCACCGGCAGTAGTTGGTTGTGTCTTTAAAATACAAAGGAAAAGATGGCATGGCGAATAGTATAGCAGCTTTGTACGGACAGTATAAAAGGTGGGGAGGCGCGCTTATCAAAAGAGGATGTTCGGAGGATAGTTGGCAAGTTAAAATGTACGGTCTCAGCTGGCTGGTGGGTTTAATTAATTTCTCTCATTTTATTTTTCAATTCATAACTCGCAACTTTTCGTCATCTGGTTAAAACAATTCAATAAATTGTGCGCTGTGCGGTTAAATTTTAGACTTGGAAAACATTTTTCGTTGCCTGGCCGTTAAAGGGGAGGGAAGCTGTGGATCTTTCGCTTCAAGTTCTGTTCTGTCTTCAGTATGTTATTGTTAGAAAGGATTCGGGACTTGAAAAGGGGACAGACAGGAACACTGCGAACGTAACTACAGGTAAGTGGATCCGTACATTACTAGTTATCGTATATGGCTTGTATATTTTAGTATATATTTCATTGTCAATTGCAAACATTAAAATTTTTCCATTTTCACTATATAAATATATACGTATATAGTAAATAATAATAGGTATATATTTAATAATATTAATTATGCTTACCCCTCGATTACACGCAAAACACCCCATAAAGAGCTCTACATATATACGAGCATGTGTGTGTATCTGTATCTGCGAATGTGTCCTAATCTGTATTCGTCTCTTGTGTGAGGTTGTTCACAGTACCGATTGTGATCGGTTGTGACCCCTATAGCCTTCTAGCCAAGGCAAGGCGGGATCGGTACTACACTGTGTTTTGTGTGTGTTGTGTGTGTGGTTATACATAGGTGTATGTATATAGATTAGTCATAATGGTAGCTTAACTTACGATGTTCGATTTCATCGATTTCTAGGTTTGTGCGTTGTGACCAAGTATTTAAACTGTACAGTTTAGTCAGCATATGCATATATAAGTGAAAGTGCCCTGCAGCCTGTTGGCGGCTTCCAGCCCCTTCTTTAATGGAGATGGAGAATTGCGAATGGAGTTGGCAGTTGGAGCTTGCATTTAAAGTTCAAGTTAGTTGGCAGCTGAAAGAATTATTTTCAGCACAGAATGTGTGCATATTTTAATTAGGCTGCTTGCCCTAACTCTGCCCTCTCTAAGACAAGTCAATGTTCAACAAGTTAGTGCGTTGCTGCGGCAGCCGATTAAATTACACGTTATAAGTCACAAATTACCACTTACCAATTATCGATTACAATTGAAACATTGATTAAATAACATTTTGACTTTACACGGAGGCGATCGAATGCTAAGCGGAATACAAACATACATACATATATATGGTTACAAATACAGTGCACACAAGTATCATTCGTGGCATTCATTGTATTTCATGGTACTCATTGTATTCATGATATTCATGGGATGCCGCCTGCAAATACATTTCATCGTTTAACTGGCGGTTTAGCGCCCCTTCATCTCTTGATTAATGAACTGACTAATCCGCAATACTTTAGGCTCCATGTTTGGTCTTAAGTTTCATGTTTCATGTTTTTTCTGTTTCTGTTCTGTATGTTGTTGTCTCAGTCGCTGTCGCTGTCATTACGGTCCCGTTGCCCAGTTTCTTGGCTTCTCGTTCTCCTGGGGCTGGTGGCACTCTAACAGTTGCAGTTGGCGTCTTGGCGTGCCTGCTGCCCCGTCAAGCGCTGCCCTTCTCGTGCCCGTTGCCCACTAATGTCGGATCTGCGTTGAGGCTCTTGGATATCTTGTTGGATATAAGATCCACAGACGCTTGAAGACAGCCTAAGGGCGCAGTAGGGGGGCTGGATAACCCAATAAGTACATGAGAAAGTCTCCCATTCCCAGTGGGTGGTACTTCACCTTCACATTCAGGTCTCCTTGCCGGACGTCTCAAAGAATTTCACGCCGGGCTGATTGGCCAGCTGGCGGCCCTGCTCGAAGTGGATCATGCGCTGATCCTCCATGTCGCATTTGTTACCGACCAAAATCACCTGGGAATCGTCTGACGAGTAGACTTTTGATTTGTGTGACCCTGGGGGGTAGAGAGAGACGAGAGTCAGTGTCCTGCTGAGAGTGTGCTCTAGGACGCAATTCACTAGTCCTGGACCGAGTTGAAGCCTGTCCTTGTTGGTGACATCATACATCAGGATGAAACCCATTGCCCCGCGGTAATAGGCTGTGGTGACGGGGCGGTAACGCTCCTGCCCAGCTGTGTCCTGGAAAAGTCAAAAACGCAACCTTGGTTCAGGTCTTCGGTTTATGACCGTAATTAACCCGGACGAACAAACAGGCATGAGGAGGAGAGGAGCAGGCTGGTACGGGACTGCGACCTTGTCGACCTAGTAGCTAGTCTGTGGCTATGGACTTAGACAAATCTAAAGCTTCACCCGCTTGTCGTGGCGAAATACAGTCTTCACCTTGAAGTCGATGCCTATCGTGGAGACGAAGGCGGATGTGAAGCTATCGTTGGCACAGCGGAAGAGGAAGCTCGTCTTGCCCACCACTGGAGAGTTGCCGACCAGGAGCAGCTTGAACACGAAGTTAAAGTTCTGGCGCCTGATCCTTCTGCCACTTGGGGATCCCTGCTGCTGGCCATTCCTGTTCAGAGCGCTTTGCTGTTTTTCTGTGTGCCTGTCTGCCTGTGCCAATAAGTGATACCGAATTGAAGGAATCAGTTTAGGGGGCTTTGTATTGCCTGTCACAGTTGCGAATGGCAAGTGGATGGGAAACCCATTCAGGTCGGTGTCAGATAAAGAAATTCGAATCTGCCACAGCACGAGCTGTCGACTCTGAAAGTATTCAAAAATCAAATAAAAATAAAAAAAGTTCGCGTTTATTTTTATTCAACTTTTCTTCGCCCTGATTTTTCGGTACGTTCTCGTTTAGAAGTTCCGTGCATTTTTAATCGTATTTTATGTTCGCAGACTAAGAAAAATGTTCGACACAACGCTTGGCTGTCTGATTGGCCTCTTGATGGAGAATGCACTTTGGCTGCTCGTCAGCCAGTCCTTCTGCCAGATGGTGTATTATTCGCTGATCAGCGTAATGTGCCTGCTGCCGGGGCCTCGTCCGTCAGGCGGAACAAAACGGACTGCGTGAGCGTTTCCAGGCGATCCTGCAGTGCCTGAAGATTTGGCTTCATGCTGGAATTTCCCCACCAACTACCGTGGGTACGACTTGATCATCTTGCGTGAGGGGTGGACTCGGAAGTGTGGAAGGGTCTGGCTTTCTAGAGCCCTATCATATGCACGATGAATACAGCTGGGTTGCTTGGGCCATCAGGGAGCTGGTTAACTGGAGTTATCACCGTACGGATTATCTGCCGGAGAGTATTCAGCTGGAGAATACTGGCTACACCCTGGTGTTTCGGACTCAGTTTTACGGTAACACACCGACCATCAGGGGGGCTTATCTGCTTGCCAGCTACACCTCCGTGGAGGTGCGCTTCTATTGGGGCTGGTGCAACAGCGAGGGTTCCGAGTAGCACCTTCAACCACGCTGAAGTTCCCCCACTGGAGATGCAGGTGATGGACCGTGCTGGCTCCGGACTGGCATGGTCTCGTACTCAGTAGGCTACGACCTCCTGACCATCGCCTACCGTTTGGGCTATCCGCCCCACAACCCGTACCTGGATCCGCTCGTTTGGAATCTCTGCGAGGGTGCATGAAGCCCGGGAAAGCGTGCGAATATATCTCCGTTTCCATCTGCTACCCATGCCCGCCTTCCGGACTGGCTTCTACTTCAGGGGGGTTGCTGACCTATCCTCCATTCTACCGAGGGAACCGAGTGGTTTATTTTTCCTGAGAACGCTGGCTGTCTGACTTCCAGCTCCGCCACTTCTGACAGCTGCTGGGCACCGATGGTGTCACTCCTATCACTAGGAATCGCCCGTCCCGTCCAGCCCCTGGGCAATCAAAGTATCAACTGAAACTGCTTCTGTCCTTTCGCATGCCAAACAGCTGAAAGTTAAGCCGCTAGTCCAGACAGCAGCAGCACCCGTAGTTGGAGGAAGTGTAGCAGGATGAGCCCGTGAAGTAGGAGCAGGATCAAGATCAGCAAGTGTCGACTTTGGTGGTTTGGGGGGGATCATAACCAGCAACTTCAGGGACATCTGCATGAGCACATTTATGCGTAGGAGCAGCCACAGCAGGACTAAACACTACAGCCATTGTCCTCCATAGCGACTCCATGGCCAGTGACATGTGGCCGCCCAGCCGGAACAGGCTGCTCAAGATGATTTCATGAATGGTGAGGGACAGCCCGTAAGCGAAGGCCAGGCCAGCTGCAATGCCGATGCCAATTGCGACGTGGGCGATGGCGTCAACATTGGGGTTCACCGGCCACCCTGAACTGATCTGAGTAGGGGAATGGGCGTTTAATTATTGTTCAGTTTTTTTTGTTTTTATCACGCGGAACCGGATACGCATACGGGACACAGCCTGGACCCAAGGCCAGTTGCTCTTTGTCCGAAAAACTAATTGAACTGCGCGTGTATGGATTAAAGAGTTGCGTTTATATTTGTGAATCATATCCCCCTCCTGCCTCGAACCTGAGGACTGCTGAAGGGAGGTGAGGTCAACCGGGGAAAGTGTTGCAGCACACAGTGGATAGGACATGCTCAGGCTTCCCTTCCGGCTGCTTCCCAGCAAGTTACAACTGGCCCAAGCAGATTGCTTTCTCCGTGGCTGTTGGGATGGCTGTCACGTCAGTGGCAGAGCAGTGGACAAGGGAAACAAGCTGAGAAACATGCAAGAGGGTTAGGGGGGTCGGGGAGCGCTGGTAGCGCGGCCTTGAAAAGTTCTCCTTGCCATGCCATGGACTCGGTGACAGCAGTTCAGTTTCAGCTTGTAGTTTTCCCATTTATTCTTCGATCTTGGCGCTCGGTGCTCGGCTTTCACAATTTCCATATGCAAGGCAGCAGCTCCGTCCTTGGACGCGACATTGTGTCGATAATTTGTGTGTATAGACAACTTTATCTTCCCTCTGCCATGGCTTTTCCGTCTCCGTTTAAGTCTAATGTCCTTCTCCCACTGCTCCCGCTTAAATCAAGAGTTGCGCAGCGGCAAAATACTGTCAGATTTCTGATGAACGATGGTTCAGGCTCTGGGGGTCGGCACAGAGGAGTGCGTGCGTCATCGTCAAGGCCCTGGCAAAAGGACAGCCCCAAGCCAGTGCTCCGGCAGCGGCTGTCAAGGAGCAGAACCCCTCCAGGCACGCACCGTACCGGAGCATCACATCACATCGCATCACCAGAGTGTGGCAAAAGCCGTGGGCACAGCGACAGACAGACGTGCTCGAGTCAATACAGGCAGGCGTGCTCGCCTCTTATCAGAGGCGGTGTAGAAATGTTTTTATCTGCCTGGCTTCGTGTGATTATCGATTTTTTGTGTGTTGTTTTTACCCCTGTGTGGGGGATGACTGCTGCTGCTCCTCCTCCTCCACCTTCTCCATCTCTGCCTTCTGCTGCCTTGCTGTTCATTCGTGCTTCAATTGCAAATGGCTAAGAGCTGTTCGGCGGGCAGGAGAAGATGCATTCTAATCAAACTATCTATGGTCTGCGGTAACTTTCACTGACCTCCGACAATCGGACTCCCACGCATTAGAGAAGACTTCAACGTGGCGTATATTAATATTAAGGGCGTACTAATATGTTGAGGATGGATGGTACTTACTGTGTTTTGAGGTTGATGCGTTTGCGGTTGCTCCTGCTGATCCCTGCAGATTCCTGCGTTGTCTGGATACGTCAAGTGCTGCCGTTCCTGTTCTTGCCGTTGACGTGCGTTACTGTGTGTGTGTTTGTGTGTGTGGGCAGATGTGTGGGAGTAGGTGTGCAGGTGTATAGGTGTTTAGGTGTACATGGTATTCGCAGACATACACATACGCAATCGATAATGTGGCTGGGGCTCTGGCTCTGGCTCCGCTGTACGTGGATTTTGCTTTCGTTCCGTTTGCTCTTTCCCCTTTGGTCTGCCTATTGGAAGTTAGCCTTGGCACTGGCCTAACATACGGTAGAGTTCTGGTCTGTGCTGCTACTCTTTGTTTACGGTTACCCAATCAATTATTCAACGTACGCGCACCCACACGGCTCGCCACAGCACTGCAGTCGATCAAATCAATTATTCAGGAGTCGCCTCGAAGTGGCAGTGCAAAAGATCCCTGGCCTGCCAATTGTTTTCTCAACTGTTTCACCTTTTTTCTTTCGCCAAACGAGGAATATCGCATCGACACGTCGTCTTCGCAGGACTCAAATGAGGGAAAAAATTGTGAGCTCTCAGACGGCGAATTGGATTGGCTGCTACGGCGAATATGCTGTTCGAAAGTTTTGTATACGTTTTCATATATCGACTCGACTGCTGCTGCCCACTCACTGACTGCTGAAAATCGATGGGGGGCTGTTTTCCTGGGCAACTGGAGGCGAGCTTTCCATTCATGCGGCGGGGCGGACATGCGCACAGTGGACGGTTAGCGGTTGTCGGTTGGGTTGGCCAACACTGGCAGAGCGCCAGCAATTTGAAATCTAATCGAGTATCGTCAACAGTTTATATCGGTTTATGGTTTATGGTTTAATATCCAAAGCAAAGTGCCACGCCACTAAAGAGGTTCAAAGATTCTGCGTGGCTTTGATTGTGATTATAAACAGTTTAATGATCAACACATACATATAACAATGCATCGCCCCTCTGCACCCTCTACAGCTTGCTATTCCCAGCCAGCATTTCGCGTACAATCTTCACGGCGTACTTGGCCGTTCCAGGAGCTGTGGTCACGCCGTAGCCTCCGTGTCCGTAGTTGTGAACCACTTTCAAGCGTCTTCCCTCCGCATTCGTGACCAGCTCTGGCTCCACGCGAACGATCGCACGATGCGGACGAAGTCCCACGCACTCCCTGACAATCTCCGCCTTCTTGAGGCTCGGCAGGAGGTCATAGCATCGCTCCTTGATGGCCATGCTGTCGTACTTGCACCACTCGGTGTTGTAGCTATCGAACTGCCGGCAGCCTCCCAACGTGACCGTCTCGAAGCCCGGCAGCACGTAGGTGTCGTAGTCGCCATAGAAGGCCGTCTTAATCCACGGCGCCTGCACCTTCAGTACCTGACCCCGAATGGGCACCAAGTGCTGATCGTTGCACAGCTCCTTGGCGCCCATCCCAGTGCAGTTCACTAGGACATCAAAGTTCTGCTGCACATCGAAGAAGTTCTTCACATGCTGCCGATCCACAGTCCCTCCGTTTTTAAGGAATCTGCCAAAGAATTTTTTGCGTGAATGATTGCTGGTGGTAGGGTCGGACGCACACTCACTTGCTCGTGGCATAGGGCAGGAAGAGGCGACTTTCCGTCAAGCAGGTGGTGAAGAAAGAGCCGTACTTCCATCCGCCCTGGCACAACCTCAGCTCCTCGTCCGTGGCGCGTCGGTACACGGGCAGAAGCTTCTCAATGAAGTGGTTCTGGAGCAAGAGCAAGAAACGGCAATGTTCGTTAATCGAATAAAGCCAACTCAGATAAGAATTGCTGATAGTAGCTTGGCAACGTACTCGCACTATGGGGGGGAGGTGCGCGAGTAGATGTAGCCCGACAGTTGGCACACCCCCGCTAGAGGAGCCTCCTTGGAGCGACGCAGCTCATCCCAGTAGTTGAAGGCATCCGTCATCCATTGCCTGCAATCGAAAGAAGGATTAGATGGCCGTGCTGGACCTGACCTTGGAACAGGTGGTCGTACTGCGTAATTTCCTGGGTGGGGCCCATGAAACTGGTGCCTGGCCGGAAGATGCCCGCCGCCACATAGCTGACTGTGTCCTCGTTGAAGCGGTCGGCAAGGATGGATACCTGTGCCGAGGAAACTGCTCCTGCAGCTCCAGGGCGGTCGTGAGGCCAATTATGCCGCTGCCCAAGACTCCGAAATGCATGATTGATTCGCTGGTCAATTCCGATCCGGTACTGAGGAGCAGCAAATTGCAGCACAAGTATTTAACGACACCGGCACTTGTTAAGATAGTGAGGGAAGCTTATCAGTCCATTATATCAGTAAATACATTATACAAATCCTCTCCCTCTGTCACCGTGTCTAGTTATCATTCCACCGCTCATAATCTTTATTCGATTGGTCGAAACAGAAAGAGCCGATCTTCTTATCGTTTTTTGAATAC